CTGCTGTAGGAAGTGCTGTAGCTCTGGCAGTATGGGCCCGGGCATTATCATGCTAGAAAAGGTTGTTCCGGTGACGTTCGAAATGTGGTATGACGTGGGGTCTGAGATCTTGGTCGATGTAACGCACCGCTGTGATGCCGCCTCCTCTCCCTGGACCAAGGTTCTGGAACACCACAGGACCCACTCTCTGGTTCAGGCCTATTCCACCCCATACCATGATGCTTGCACCTCCCTATGAGTCTCTTTCCATAACACATTTTGGTCTGTGACAACGCTAAGGCGGCAATGGAGGTTCGTCGTCGCCATATTGTTGTTCCGTGTGTTCCACTCTGCGTGTTGATACGCAGCACCGACAACATCTCATATCGCCAGTTTTGGTGATCATTTGTGTAGGGCAAACGTTGCTGCAGACGTTCACGTTCACCAGCTTCAAGTCTTCCTAGCGCCTGGTTCCTCTGAGCTGTCGTGAGTCGCGGCATCCTGCTGACGTTGTAATGTGAATGTTTCAACCAGGTTTGGGGGTACATTTTATAGAGCTGGTCCTTGTGAACAGCACGTGGAGCATGAGTTGCATGGAAAACATGGAGGACACCGTACCATCTCCGAGATCAGGTTGCGTTTTTGAGACCATTTCCTGGGTTTCATTCTGAGTTTGGGAAGGAATGTCTTTGCTCAGGTAAAGTTGGAGATGTTGTCAAAAATATACAATCAAATCATTAAATGAGTTTACGGTTATCCGTTTCTGCGAAGGAATATTCCAAACTGTCGTTTCTTTTGCTGCTTAGTATATTATACATGTCAACAAAGGGAATCGAATCGATTGTCATTCCGGCCACAATTTGGGCTTGTCGTACAGATGTGATTTACTTGATTTACATATTGCGTTTGAACTAGCGATGCGTGTCCTCCAGAATGTTTTTTGACAGCTGTAGTAAAATAAAATACTATCTGAATGGTCACCCGATGAAGGGACAAGAAATAACCGTGAAACAATTAACAAGTTTAGGTTCTTCCAGCTTCTGAACCTTCCGTCTGCCAAAGACTGAACTAATAAACCAGTGTTTCACACAGGGCACAGATTACAAAGAATAGACCTAGAACGGACCTCTGTTTTCGGACCATGGAGTCATCCATTCGTGCGGTGGATTCGGACATAAAACTCACTTATGTACTCTTACAAAACTTGCGGAGACAGGTGGCGTTCAAGATTATTGTCACTTGTAGTATGCGTGACGCGCATGCACGAGTATAATTACATTAGGTAAAATTCAATGAAGAGAAGAGATGAATTATGGATTTCAACGTCTTTATTATGGAAATCCATATCAGTCGTATCATCATTGTAAGAGCTTCTGAAATGCCCCTTCCCTAAATGAGATGTGACTGTTGTTTAAATAGAATGTGGCCATCGATTCTGACCTTGGAAGCACCCACTTATCTCAAACACGTACTCAGTAAAAGTATTCCCAAAAGACATCAACATACTAAGTTTTTATGCTTAGTGCTTTACCAGTTAAGTGTTTGAATGCTATTATTCTTCATACATATTGACGTTTGGTTATTTTAGTCAGATCGTTGTATACATCTTCATAGAACCATGGCAGCTGGAAGGTGAGGCGTCCTGAGGTGAGGTGAAATGGGTTTTACGTTGCGTTCAAGATTTACTCGGAAACAAGTTTAAATTTCTCAATTCTAAGAGATACTAGTTTCAAATAATAGTGGTATGACAATAATGAACGAATTGGGAACACATTAAAACCGGTAGTAGAAGTGTGGCGGTTGATGACTATGAAGAACTAAGGATGTAAGATGGGAAATTTCAGAGTTGTTGTTTTTGCTTTAGTATCGCATAATACCGCACCAAAATATGAAATAGTTGACGATGCAAAGAGCGTGCGAGTCTCCAAAGGGCAATTTGAGGGATTCTGTCCTACTCCTCTTGCAGCACCTGACCAATTTCAGGCCAACGTTGACGCCCACGTCCCTCTATGTTTTTCCAGATGCGTTCATGGAATGAAAGGGATAGGTACCTTGATGGCCATGGTATTTGAGCTGCTTGGAATGAGGGGAGGGGCACTAGAAATGGGCTTCACACATTGTACCCATGTGGGGAATCGAACCCGGGTCTTCGGCGTGACGAGCGAACGCTTTAACCACTATGCCATCCCACCGCCCCTTACACAATATGGACTGGGGTTTGCTCGGGTCATAGTGATAGTGGAGATGAGGCTGCACGTTGATGATTTCTAATTATCTGTCCCACAACCTGTTCTACGGTATTCTAATTGAAGGTTGCAGCAATTCCATTCGCCGTTCAAGTTCGATTTTCGTAGAGCATGGTTTTAGATCAATCGATTGTTTACTCTTGTCATTGACCTGGGACCCCCTGACATGGATCGACCATCAGCATCTTGAGTTTTTTGGTACCCATTCCGTTGTCTGGTAATCCCAGACTGTGAAACATTGAACGCATTTGACACTGTACTGTGTCTTCATGTCAACAACCCGTAGACACTCTGCAGGTTGCAGGCGTCGCATCGCTAGTTCAAGCACAATATTTAACTCAAGTACATCACATCTATGACATAAGCTGAATGAAAAAGATAGAGACTGCTCTTGAAAGTGTCAAGATGAGTGGCTGTGCTGTGCGGCGCGTTCAAATGATAGGAATCGTTTTGGTGTCATGTTTTACGGATATGTATGTTCTGTCAAGGTATATTTGGCGTCAAGACACATCATTCATGTTTAATACATGTAGTTGGTATTGGCATTTATATTTCAGGATCTTCTGCTCTTTTAAAGAGAATATATGCAGCTGGGTAATTGTGTTACAATGGACGGGTTTAGCATAATTACAATACCCTGACATACATGCTATGCCAAAAGGTAGACGATATTTTATTTTGAGGTTAAACTACAGGATCATACAGCAAGACGGTGACATTATGTCTGCACAGATGGCATTTGTGTGTCCAGTCATCAAACAACCTTCTGCCATCATTTAGCATCAGAGCCGTCGGTGATGCAGCACTGGGAATGCCAACATTAGTCTGACGCACAGAGGTTCACTTTCGATTGTGCCCATAATGGGAAGAGGGTGAATCACAGCGGCTGAACTGCGGCGGAGTCACGGGTTAATACCACACGTGCAACATCCAAGCTACACTCATGGTGGAAGATGTGTTTGGAAACTTTTTATCGTTCAATATGATAATCACAAGCTCATCGTGATAGGATTTTAACACAGTTCTTCCAACAGCAAAACGGTCGTGCCATGGCCAGCAAAATCAACCCACGGCGCGCAATAAACACGGCGCTGCTCTTACTTACTGAATGGAACCATATGAATGAAAATGACAGAAGCATGGCGCGTTGAATTCATGCATGTCCAGCAAACCGGGGTGGTTTTATCTGCTATTGGCCCTGTTGGCTGCAAAATGCAAATTCGGATTTGATACCCGACCTTTTCAAATGCGCCACCATATCTTCACACCAACCATTCGAACCACTTAGATGTGATCACAAACCCCCTGCAGACATGATCATATCATTTCCATTTGCCAATACTATATGGGTCGGAAGATATGTTGTGATGATGCCCTCCATCTCCTACTTTTTTAACTCTGAGACTATTACATTCCATAATGGCGAACGCCAGGAGTGGGAACAGCAACATGTTTTAATGTTTATGCTTTTTCGCTGTCAATGAAACACCCCCGGATGTTCTGCATAAAGTTGCGGTTCCGATATGAACTTGATTATTACCCAGCAAGCCAGGGCCCCGTTTCTCAAAGCGATCGTAGCGCTACGACTGTCGTAAGTCTATGTTAAAGTATAAGAGTTACCATCGTCTTAGCGCTACGATCGCTTTGTGGAACGGGGCCCAGGTCCTCTTTTAAGATTGTCTTGATGTCAAGCTTTCTGAAAGGTTGGCCACCATATCCTGATGGCATAATTATTTCTCAATAGAATATGGTAGACAAAACCATCTTTCGCACGAAAGATGTCTTCGATAACGCTGTTGACCATCTACAGTGTCAGAAAAGTTTGGTAACTCTCGTCTTCTGAAGTAATTTTTGGCAGTTAATTCATAAACAAATGATTCACTGATAACAACTAAATTTTTAACTAACTGTTCGAGTTTTCAATCAACCGCAGGGATATAAAAAGATAAAATATTTAGCATATGATTGTACTTAACATATGCTAAATATTTTATCTTTTTATATCCCTTGCAGGGATTTTAAAATCGTTCTTACTATAGTGTTGGATTGGACGTGTTGTTATCATGTTGTTATTTCTTGCTGCTATAACTCCGAACTTGTAACAATAATAGAACAATAGGAACGGTTTGTTGATTTTTAGTTTTTGAGAGAGGTAAGCTGATACTGTTACGCCGCCTCAGGCGTAGAGGTGGAGCGTCCGCCCGGAGAGCGGAAGGTCGCGGGTTCGATCCCCGGCCGCGTCATACCACAAGACGTTAAAATATGGCACTTGTTGGTTCCTGCCTAGCGCTCGGCATTAATGGGTACAACACAGACTGGTCGGCTCGAAGTCAGTTTAATGTGTCTGAGTGGGGTATTCACGCTTTACTTCAGCATGGTATCTCAGTGAGCTAGCACTATCAAACCAGCTTAAATCTGGGCTAGTACAAGCAGCCACACATAAACACGCCTGCACGGCGTCATATGAGCGAAATATTCTTAAGTACGATGTTAAACCCCATATCCCCTCACCTGTTACTGTTACTGTAACAATGTGGGCAAACCTAGCTTTGAATGAAAAAAAAGATTCTTTAAGTATTGAATACAATCACTGACGCTCCGTGGTAAAACATAACGAATTAGGACGAGGAATGAATTAAAGGTGCAAGGTGAATGTTACCATCACTGACTTTTTCCTAATGCTATGTATACTGCAAATTTACAACTGTAATAATAATGTTTTTTTGGTACATGTAGAGTAAAATTCTCATAAAGCGGCAAAAAATGCATATTTACCCATTCTATCGTTTATGTCGTTGCCTTCACATGGACTATCATCCTACAAAATATGTCCTCCAGAAGCACGTAGGAACCTCGTCTAAACACACTCACTAAAACAAAGTGGAGAAGACGCTTGTACTGGAGAGAGATGTCGTCTGCTTGTTTCGCTCCACTCGGTAACTGTCGTCTGCTGCTATCGTGATATTCGATTGAGCAAGAATCAACAAGGGCTTGAGAGACTCTGCCACAGCTTCAAGAGTGAGTTGTTATCTGTAGTCCGAATGTGAAACAATCGATTTTTTGTGATCGATACAGGATGTGAACACTGAAGAAATACTGGAGGTTTAACATTGCCGAACTAAATAGCTTCTTCCACTTTAATGCATCCTACTGTTGTTGATTGTTCCTTACAAGGTCGATTGCCCAACAACAGCAGATCTTCTAAAACTTGAGCAGATGTTGATGAAAAGATATAAGGGCACAAGCTTTAAGGATGCATTGTCTTGCACCTTTCTCGTTGCTTACCGGAAGGTGACCGGAAGCAGTCGCAAGCTTTCAAAACAACTATTAAAATCTTGGTGACTTAAGAGTTGTATACTGATCGCAGTAAATAATTTGAGTGTGAAATAATCTCCTTGCAAATATATACATTCCTTTCAACCAACAGTATGTATATTCCATAAAGGACAGAATGTTATACCCCAATATATGTTGACATGAACCAATGTTGTAACTGTAAACCGTTAAGATTCAATAGAGGATAATAAAATTGTATTTTAAGAATGTTTTGGCAGGACCGTTATAATACCGAATGTCTAGGGTGGTTTGGAAGTTACTACAGCTGATGCTGGTGGAGGCAAAACTTCACACGTTTAGAACACCTATTGACAACCCCATCATGATACTGAACTTTCCAGAAGGTATTCAGACTAAATAAGTGGGCAAGGGTATGCCTCTATCATCTCACATCTTGGATATCAAGTCAAGGCGTTACAGATGCTGCAAGGTGAATGTTACCATCACTGACTTTTTACTTATGCTATAGTATCTTATACTGTCATTGTATTGCTGTTGCCATTGGACTTAGTACTTCCACTCTGTTGGGTACCTGTGAAGATCTGGTCTTCAGTAACCCATGCTTGTCGTAAGAAGCGACTAACGGGTGGTCAGATTCGCTGACTTGGTTGACACATGTCATTGTATCCCAATTGCGTATGCTGTTGGTTTAGACTTGATATTTACAGACCGCTGCCATATAGCTGAAATATTGTTGAGTGCGGCGTTAAACAACCAACCAACCAACCAACCAGCCAACCAACAATTGCTGTGTACTGCCACTTTATTGCATTTGCTGTTAAAACATCCGTTTAAGCTGCTCCGAATAGTATCTGTTTTAATTCGTGTAACCGTTTTCAGTGAGTAAATCAGTCTGATAGCAATAACATTATTCAATGGATACTCTGCACATAACACGGACTTCTTGCTGGCGAGTCCCTTTTCTGTCATCTTAACGCTGAACGTCTTACAGGGCAACAACAACGTCGTGATGTTGCCGAAGGAGTCGATTACAGAACCCCTGTTCCTGGTGTTCCCTACCGTGATGCTGTACAGTGACATTACGGTATCTATTAAGTACACATATATGTACAGCATACAGACTGTAATGATTGCAGTTAATTAAATCCCACTGCCCACAACCGCTTATTATCTATAAATAGAAACTATTCAATTGAATAATAAAGAAGAGCCCCTTTGAATTGAGGATGTGTATTCATTTGAATGTTTTTTTTCATGTGACAATGGCGTTTTTAGTAAGAGAATGGAGTATGGTGACCTATGACTGTACCTATGTCTGTACCTACATGCGCGACATGCATTCGACCTGTCAACTAAAGGAAGTCATTATCCATAAATACTTCCGGTTAGACATAGATATGACCCAACACTGGATTCCACAGGAGAGGGACACGGCTGGCCAAGTTGACTAAGGCACCGCGAATTGCTGTGCAGAGTCTATACGAGTTGCGTCCATTGGGTACGAGGGAAACGTATGATCGTAAGTTCGCATCCCGGTCCGACTTTATAATGTTTAAATGTAGACACTGAACCCGTGCTTTTTACCAAAGTAACAAGCGTCCGAGACTTCAGGCTTTCGTTCCCCATTCAACGATGACACGTCGCGATAAGGTTACCAATTTGAATATCTGCTACTGTCACCAAGATCTGCACCTAAGGCGGTTCCACTCAGGCTCGCACCCCTTCCACGCCACCTTGGCGAAACTAGGCTAGTGAAATCAGGTTTAAACCAAACACACTCACACACTACTCAGAATAACCCTATGAGGTATCGCTGTAATAATTTGTATCAATACGCTTTGCACTGTGAGCATGGAATCACTATTCTTCTTGCCACAGAGGTGGTTAACAACTGACAAACTGAAAAAGAAGTTTGAAAAAAAAAACCAGATGAAAAAGATGATTTATGATGAAATATAATGTTACTGTCGTGTTTGCTGATCATATGCATCAAGGCCTCCAAGTTTTAAACTTTTATCGACTCGTGTTGAAAGACAGACGATGGATTCTCTATAACACATCTATAACGACATCCACATCAGCTACAGGCAGCTGCAAAAAAACATGATTAAAGTGTACTGACAATCAATGGAATGTATCCCCAATTATTTTACTGATAGATAAACACAGTTAACCGTCACAGGTTAAATAGGTCCTAATATTGGTTGTAATATTTTATGTTACAAATTACAGTAATCAACGAGAGTGTAATGTATTGTTTCTTGTGATGGTGATTAGTGGGTACATCAGCGTGTAAAACCTGTCAAATTATCGTGTTTTCAACTACTTTTTCAATCGATTTTCACATTTCTAAACAGATGATCATTATATTTTTTAATCATTGATTAATGAATGCCCGTCACTATTTCACTGATAACGATGCATGAACGCACCTCAATCAACTGTTAGAAAAATTGTGAAGATGTATTGAGTTACACGAAAGTTGTTCATGGCGAAAGGTACAGGGGCTTATCAATAATGTCTAATTTAATTGCTCCACGTATCCACGACTTCAAACGCGGTATTGATCGATTGAAATACATATTTCATTAAGAAAGAATGCAGGCAATTATAGAAGATATTTACATTCAGTTAACACTTGTTACTCTAATGTCCTATAGGACAACAGGAACGAGTTTCTGGTTGTGGACCAGAAGACGTCAGTATGTCGTGACTCAAACATAGAAGCACACATGAGTCATGTCTTGGTGTATGAAAAACATATTTTGCAAAGTGTGTTTTTCCTGTGAGTTCTCCTGTACATACTGAATGGCTATACGTATATTAAAAGAAGGGGTGGTAAGTTTATGGGTAGGTATAGTAGTTTGAGAGAGTGAGTACCTGGTGGAGTACGTTGGAGTTAACGCTCCCTTGTCACATCTAGGCGGATACAAAGAGGGCTGCGGGTGGATGGGGTGTGTGTGCCCCCTTTTGTCCTGAAGTTTATTAAATGACCATTGAAATTCTGCTGGGCGAAAATGAACTGTGCACCCAGCTTTCTCAAAAAGCTGTATCCGCCCCTGATTTGAACATAACTTTCAGCTGTGTCATAACCTGTGAAGACGTCAGTTAGAATTGGTCTTCAGCAGCCCATGTTTGTAGTGGAAGGAGACAAACGGGATCGGTTGGATAAGCTTATGTCATCGAGCAGGTCGTATTTGAGTATAGTGTTTATCACGAAGTGATGACGTCTTGCTTCAATCAGGAAAGTAGGTACATTCAGTAGCTGGAATCTTTAGTACCAAATGATTTTATGTTCTCCGAAATTAATGTGATAATGGTTCTGACACGATGCTTCCAAACAAAGGATTTCAAGCACCTCGGGCACATCGTGCCAATGACTGCATGTCCCGGTCCGTTCATCATGAAACTGTGGTCCTGGAGGTACAATCTTTGTATACCGGGATATTTAAATTTCCCTTTGTTGGATGATTTTTTTCTTATTATTAAAACTTTATCTTTAATAAACTTTTGAGTAGCATGCTATCTGTAAATATATTAGGGTTTGTTATTCGTAGCACGCATATATAATATGTTTTTGTTTTGAGGATCATATGTGCAATGTTTGAGCTATCGAAAAGATATGTGATTCCGTGCTGTAATTCACTAACAACCACATTGAAGATCCAATAGGGACCTGAACCGTTACATTTTTTACTTTAACCAACATGCAGGCATGGTCAATAGATGTATCAAATAATTGCTAACTGACCAAATTTGAATGTTTGTTGAACTACGTTCTGAAAACAAGGCATTTCTTGGACATCAATAAGAAACACTGAAACAATTATTACAGGTAGTAAAGGTCATCACTTCAATAGTGACATGATTTACTCAGATTTATAAGTGTTCAATAAGTGTTCAACCTTTTCAAATCTATGCTAGACGTTGAAGCATATCTGACACTTGACCTGCCCTTTCCATTACGCAGAATATTAGCTAAATCCGATGTTCCAACTTTAAAATAGAAATTGAACTAGGCCGCCATAACAGTATTCCGTGGGAGGAAAGATTATGCAAGAGCTGCAAGAAAAATACCATTCATGTCATCGAAGACGAGCTCCATGTGCTATTAAAGTGCCCATCATGCAGTGAACTTAGGAAGACACATCTAACACCATTCTGTTTACAACATCCACCTATGAACATACTAAAAGCTCTGCTACAGTCAACTGGAAAAACTATTTTGCAGAATTTGTGTTATTTTCTTCTAAAGTTACACGACTTATTACCAAAAAATCAGAGTTAAAGCATGGTGTATATCTATTTCGTGTGTATAAATGTATTTTTGGCCAATGGCCTTATACTGAAATAAGTCTGTCTGTCTGTCTGTCTGATTTACTCACTTGGATACACACATATTGTGTCAGAACATTACCAGTTCAGCTCTAAAACGATCAATAGTACCATTAATGTTAAGGGTGAGCGAGGGTGTGAGTATGGTTTAACGCCGCTTTTCGCAATATTCCTGCAATATCACGGCGTGGGACACCAGTAAAAATCTGAAAGGGCCGGGATGTTTGTTCGCAACAAGATTTTCAGTCACGCATTTTGTCCCGTGCGACAAGAACCCATTTTTTAAACAATACATTTTGCCAGACTTCCAATTTGTTCAGCGAACTATAAATTTGATTTTGATTAAATCAAAGGACATTAGTTTTTTTTATAAATGTCTCATGACAAATGTGTCTTAAATACCCATGTACGTTTGTGTGCGGATTGGGCGAGCTTTGAACACAAACTCCGGAAGCAAACTGGTTGATGTTATCAGTGCTTCCCC